CCCCAATAAAAATTTTTTTTTTTTTAAATTGGAGGGCTCAGATATTATTGCAGTAATTGGCAAGCCTGAGTGAGTATATACGTATCATAGAAACCCCAGGATAGGGAGCAGGTTTCTTTTTTAAAGTTTAGTAAGAGTTATACGGCATTTGGAACACAAGTAGATCATATATAGGCAGCAGGTATCTATCTATGTTACATACAAATCACACGGATAGGTAGCACGTATCTACGTAACATATTGTTTATACTAAATCACACATATCCTCACAGAAATGGAATTCGCGACAAAAAAAAATAATAAAAAATTGATGCAAATACAATTGGGGTCCATGGAAGCACCCCAAAAAACTCTACAGATGGACGTTGTTGCTGTCAGTTCTTTCCCCTCATGAGGATCCAGCTACCCTGGACCGCAGCAAGTGTCAGACGTAAGGCTTGAACTCGAACCCTCGGAGCCAAAAGTAGTGTCTGTCAGAACTAGACAGCAGGGCCCGTGGGGACGTCAAAGACTCCACACACCAAGTTGGCTGGTAGTGCAACGTCTGAAGACAGAAACAGCAAGGGTTAAAATCGTCTTTTTTAGTTTAGTTTTAGTAGAGGTTTTACGGCGCTCGCAACTGCATAAGGTCATATGAACGTCAGAAGATTAGAGGTGTTACAAGAGAGTAACAAACATAAAAAAGAAGAAGGGGAGATAAGGACGACAGATGTTTGATAGGAAAGAAGAAGCAAACCACACCAGAGCACCTGCCAATCACCCAAAGTCGTCTAAGTCATGTTGTAGTTAACATTTGAAGACAAAAATTAGAGCGTTAAAGTAATTTAGGTTGTATTGTAATTAACAGAAAACAGAAACACCAGGGGTTAAGGTAATGTAATTTATTATTTAATCCACATCTGAATATACAGACAGCAATTAGGGTTAAAGTCATCTATTGCATGTTGTAGTTAACATTTCAGAGCAGAAATAAGACGATTAAAGACAGAACGGTTAAAATAAATCTATCTGGTCTATGTCGCATTTGGTGAACATTTGAAAGCAGAAACAACACGAGTGAAAATAATCCATGTTGCTTCACAGTCACCATTTGAATACACAAACATCAGCAGATAAAGTATTCTATGTCGCGTTGTAGTTCAAATCTTTTTTTAGTTTTAGTAAGAGTTTTATGGCACTTGCAACACAATAAGGTCATATAAGTGCCGAAGATTAGAGGTGTTACAAGGGAGTAACAAACATAAAAAAGAAGAGATATAAAGACAATAGTTGTTTAATAGGAAAGAAGGAGCAAACCACACCAGAGCATCCGTCAACCACCCACAGTTCAAATCTGAAAACACAACAACCTATACTTGATGATCCAGCAGCTTATGAGCTTGGGGGGGGGGGGGGGTATTCAGAGACCAAGCCACACAAGTAACTGACGTTACATTGTAGAAAAGGGCAACTTCTTCCTCCTGCCTGTCCCTATCACAGACAATATCCTATACTGCCGCCAAAAAAATGTGTCGCTGCGCAGTGGAATCAGGCGCTCATCCATCTTTTAGTTTTAGTAAGAGTTTTTTAGTTTTGATTTTAGTATGAGTTTTACGGCACTTGTAACACAATAAGGTCATATAGATGAAGATTAGAGGTTTTACAAGAGAGTAACACATAAAAAAGAAGGAGGAGAGATAAAGATGATAGTTGTTTAATAAGAAAGAAGGAGCAAACCACACCAGAGCACCCGCCAACCACCCACATCCATCTTTGGGCATATGGAGTTATTGAAATATTGGCATCATCTTAAAGCTCGTTCCTTTGTGTCTGTCTTTTGTTGAAAAAAAAAATAGCTAACTGTCTTGAATAGAAGTCAAGATATTTCTGAATGAAGGAGGTGGGGGTTGCCTGGTGTCAGAGGTAATAAAATAAGCTATAAAATGGCCGCCCAAGTCTGGAGACTTCCAAAGCTTGAGTGTTCTTGAAAACTGTACATATACAATTTTTGTGTCTTTGATCAAGGTTTTTCAGTAATATCTACACAGAAATGTGATTTTAAATAGACATTGAAGGTGTTGTGGGTACAAAAGAACATTCGGAAAAATTGCCAAACTGCCAGAAAAATGCTGGTTTCTTTGATTTTATTATTTTGCCCAGAGCCTGATTTCACCACAATGCTTCACAAATTTATGTCAAAAGCTCCACCTTTTTGAAACATAGCACTGGGCTGAAGGGCACACGCTCCAAGACTACTGGATTACTAACAATGACAACACTGTAGAAAGTTGTTTAGTTTTAGTAAGAGTTTTACGGTACTTACCACACAATAAGATCATATAAGTGACGAAGATTAGAGGTGTTACAAGAGAGTAACAAATACACACAAAAAAAGGGGAGATAAAGACAATAGATGTTTGATAGGAAAGAAGAAGCAAACCACACCAGAGCACCCGCAGCCCACCCACTGTAGAAAGTTTATTTTTCTAGAAGTACACAAACCGTGACCTAGTGAATCCTGACAGAGGCACTCAAATAGCTCAGTTGGTATCATGCTAGACTATGAAGCGGCTGGCCCTCGTTCGAATCCCTGTCAGGATGTTCTTGAACTTGGATCGTTTTGGTTTTTTTGGTGGGGGGGGGGGGAGTTTTCAAGGCTCCCAACACATTAGGCTCGGTCCTATCAGAGATGTATGTTAAAGTTAAAGGTCCTGCCAATTAGATAACATAACAGTGTTGATAATGGGGCATTAACTCTTTAAACCCTGTCAGACTCTGGGAACGTCAGGCTGTAATAACCTTTTTCCCCATCGGACGCTGGGAGCGTCCAGTACTAGTGACAACTGTTTCGTTTTATTTAGTGCTAGTTGTTGCTTGTTTTTCAGAACTATTCCTTAGCCAAGTTTTTTCAGTAATGACTAAGCCTTTGTTTCCGCTATTTAGAAGTTGAAGGCAAGCGTTTGGGGTTATAATGAGACATAGTGCACCAGGTTTACCTGACAGTAGAAAAAACTCTGGGAAACGGTTGAAAAAAACTCAGGGTTTAAAGAGTTAAACCTGCACACTAAGTGCTGACCGACCAACTGACCTATCTGTTTGGGGTAGGGCAGGTTAAGCTTGGTCATGATCTCCACAAACTCCGACTTTGGCTTGGACAGACGCGGGTTGAACTGCTTCTCCTCACCCACCGTCGACATGGTCTGGCCTAGCTCAAGGGAAGACAGAGAGGACATAGTCTCAGTTAGTTTTAGTTCTAGTAAGTTTTTTTCGTTTTAGTGAGAGTTTTACGGCACTTGCAACACAATAAGGTCATATAAATATAAGTGCCGAAGATTAGAGGTGTTACAAGAGAGTAACAAAGTAAGGTTTTAGTAGAGGTTTTAGGGCTGGCAACTGCATAAGGTCATATGAGCGCCAGAAGATAAGAGCTGTTACAAGAGAGTAACAAACATAAAAAGAAGAAGGGGAGATAAGGACGATAGATGTTTGATAGGAAAGAAGAAACAAACCACACCAGAGCACCCGTCAACCACCCACTAGTAACGTTTTACGACGCTCCCAACTGCATAAGGTTATATGAGTGCCAAGGGGTGGATGTCAACAGAGAAGTCCAAATCAGGCTTACTCTGCTCACCTCTCTAGCCTCAACAGCACAAAGTCTGCCTCGACTATCAAGACACCTCGGAAATAGCAGTTCACAAGAGAGTGACAAACATACAAAAGAAGTAGAGGAAAAATGATGATAGTAAGAATGAGGAAAGAAAAAGCAGCAGTTCCCCCTATGTTGTTCCAGCACAGTATGAGCATGACATTGATAAATCAGCCCATTTACAATTCTACTGTGCATAAGAACACGTTAATATCCACCCCCTTTGGGAAATGCCTAGGGATAACTTCAGTCAGTAGCACTGCTGGGGGGGGGGTACATATTCTCAGGCTTTTATCTTGATGATGTTCCGAAAAAACTTAAAACAAATTTTGTGTTTGTTTGTTCAGTTTAGATAAGTTATACTTTGACACAAACATGCTGAAGATAAGTGGTGTTACGAGAGAGCAATATACAAAGAAAGGAAAGCAGAGGAAAAAAACAACTTTTTTTAGCGGAGGTTCTCGCAACTGCAGTAGGTCATATGAGCGCCAGAATATTAGAGGTGTTACAAGAGAGTAACAAACATAACAAAGAAGAAGGGGAGATAAGGACAATAGATGACTGATAGGAAAGAAGGAGCAAACCACACCAGAGCACCCGCCAACCACCCACAAAAACTGTTTAAATGTAGATTTTTACAACAAACAGCAACATAATTCAGACCATTTAATACGGGGATTTCTAACCCTGCTTGTCAGGGCCAACCCTGGCGGAGAGGGATACAGCATCCCAACAGTAAGATCAAGATTTTCAATAAAAATTCTCCCCACTCGGAGATCGAACTTGCGACACTCACATCTTCTCTGTGCAACTGTCAAGACTTGACTTTCATTCCAGTGTGAAAACTGACACCATAGATACCCGTGACACACGACACAAACAGTGGAGTTCGTTTGTTTTAGTAGAGGCTTTACTGCGCTTGCAGCTGCATAAGGTCATATGAGCGCCAGAAGATTAGAGGTGTTACAAGAGAGTAACAAACAAAAAAGAAGAAGGGGAGATAAAGACGATAGATGTTCGATAGGAAAGAAGAAGCTAACCACACCAGAGCACCTGCCAACCACCCACAAAACAATGAAGTGTCAGGCACAGACACAACAGACACACACAGGATACAGACAGACAAGAGACAGACCTGTGTAGTCATGGGCAGGGAACACACAGTAGTGCTCAGGCAGACGCATAGACACAGGAGACAGACACAACAGACAGACACAAACAGACACAAGAAGACAACAAACAGACACAAGAGACAGACGCAGGAGACAGACAAGACGCAACAGACAGACACAGGAGACACACAGACAAGAGACAGACCTGTGTAGTCATGGGCCGGGAACACACAATAGTGGTCAGGAACACACACAGACACAGGAGACAGACACAAGGACACAACAGACACCTCAGACAGACCTGTGTAGTCATGGGCCGGGAACACACAGTAGTGCTCAGGCAGGCTCAGAATCTTCTGGTGCACTGAGTCATACAGGGTGGATGCACTTCCTGGGGGAAAAGAGAGGGGGAGTGGGGGGAGAGTTTTTTAGTTTTAGTAGTGGGTTTTACGGTGTTCGCAACTGCATTAGGTCATACGAGCGCCAGTAGATTAGAGGTGTTACAAGAGAGTAACAAACATAAAAAAGAAGGAAGGGAGATAAGGACGATAGATGTTTGATAGGAAAGAAAAAGCAAACCACACCAGAGCACCCGCCAACCACCCACCTAGAGAGTAAAATATAAGTACAAAGAAAAGGAGGAGAGATAAAGAGGATAGATGCTTGATAAGATAGAAGGAGCAAACCACACCAGAACACCCAATAACCACCCTCTGTAGACCTACCACAAAGATGCCGGTCTAAAATTATCACTTTGGCTGGAACAAGGAAAACACCAAAAAACAGAACACAGCAGAAAGC